AGCATTCCGTGTCTAGTCGCACTGACCACGTGACCATGGAAGATTGTCTTCAGACAAATGCTAGCTCTATGGGTTGGAAACAGGGATGAGCACCGCGCGCTAGAATCGGACATGACTGGACTCAATGTCAAGGGGAACCTTTACCTTTGCCTATTTCCCCCTTCTAATTAATAGGTGTCTAATGTGCTTTCAATGTAATTGTATTTTAATAATATCATTCATTCAGCATTGTAACTCCTTACATCTTCAGCTGTACCCTTTTTAGTTGATATACATTTAATTTAATCTTAGTTGATTTAAAATAAATTTCCTATTTGAAGGGAAAAGACTGGAGATAAATCAAATCAAATCCTGGGGTTTCTTAACTGTTTTATTTGCTTAGCTGACATCCTCATTGCCTGCAAGCAAGGGGAACCCGCCACCCCACCCTCCAACAGTTGTGAGGGTCAACTGCGGCTGGGCCAGTGGCCAATCCCTCCTGCTCTCGCAGAGTGATTTAAAATAAATTTCCTATTTGAAGGGAAAAGACTGGAGATAAATCAAATCAAATCCTGGGGTTTCTTAACTGTTTTATTTGCTTAGCTGACATCCTCATTGCCTGCAAGCAAGGGGAACCCGCCACCCCACCCTCCAACAGTTGTGAGGGTCAACTGCGGCTGGGCCAGTGGCCAATCCCTCCTGCTCTCGCAGAGAGAGAGAGAGAGAAGTGGGGGAACAATATCAGAAGTAGCCACAAGTCCGTTTCCAGTTTTAACAGAGAGACCTTTTCTTGGTGTGAAACCCAATGAAAATACGAATAGCTTCTTCTGGATGCTTCTGAGAGGAAATTAAAGAAGCAGAGGAGTCTTATGTGCTGTGATGGGGTATAAAATCTCCGAGACATTGCATATACTTTGTCCGCACATCTCCTAATAATAAGTGCTTAAAGGAAAAGGTTGTCAGGTCAGATAAGCCGATGCCCGAACCTGTCGCAGAGAGTCCTATAGAACTTTATAGACCTCCAGGGAGAAAACCAGAACTCTGTGTTCATGACGGCTGGCATTTATTTCAAAAGGTTAATCCCAGTGAGACCCGGAGGAATATTTTGAACCTTGTACAATTCTCTCTTCTTCTGAATGTCCTTCTCATTTATTTTGCCCACGCGAGACAGATAAACTGGATGTACCCAAAAAAATAAAAGTCTTTACTTTCCTTCCTTTAAGGGAACAGGCCTATGTGAGCCGTTGTAAATGCGTTATGCTCTCGTCTATCAAATATCCAGAACACCTAACTATAAAAACCCAACACAATGTGATAGGAGTGTGACTATGAAAACTTAATGAACCAGATGAGCATAGAAGTAACTACTCTAACAAAACTTCAAGACGCTCTTAACGAAAATGAATACGGTACTTCAAAATAAAATAATAAGACTGTATCAAGAGTGTTAACAAAAGATTTGCAAAAAAAATGTTACAAAGGCATATTTTCCAAGTTATAAAAGTTGGAACTCTCAGTTGAATCACATCTATGAAAAATATCTTAACCAATAATGTAATTCGCAGACTAGTCTAGAATATGAACTGCTGGAGAGTTCAGAGGTTCAGTAGCTAGAGGTTGGGTGTCCGATTCCCCACTGGGCCTCCTTGACAGGGCTGGATGATCCAGAGGATGATGATGATGATCCTTAATGAACTACTGGATAGCTCAGAGGCTTGGTGATCTGGCTGTGGAGCCAGAGGTTCATGATCCCTTGAGGATCCATTCAAGCTCTGCAGTTTGAAGAAGAGGATGATGGTGATGGTGATATAAGTAATTACAGAATCACACCTGCATTTATGAACCAATCTTAACACACACACACACCCCAGCAGAGTTTTGTCCCTCCAATCGGTGTCCTGGCAACCTTTGCTCCTTGGTCCTGTTTATCTCTCCTGGCCATTATTTGTACCCATGTCGTTGGGAGCATAACAGATCTAGACTACAGATGGGCATGAATTAAAATAAAACGAATCATTAAATTCATTCAAAAATAACTAATTCATCACTTTGTATCCGTATGAATCATTGCCCCAATGAATCACGAATCAATGAATGTTGAGTGATTTTTGAGTCATGGATTCATTTGGTTATAAAATGCCCCCCAAGGCACCCAGAGACACTGAAATTGCAGGGAAGATTCCTCTGATCTTCCTCTACAATATCCTCATCTTTGGTGAAGTTTGTGTTTCAGGTGTCTAGGTTATGCATCCATAAAATGTCCCCCCCAGGAAAGTTCCCCCAGGCACCAAGAGATACTAAAAGGATAGAGAATACACAAGTCATGGGCCATGGAGTGGACCTACCTCCCTCTATTACCATCTCCACACAAGAATTGGAGGTTGTTCACGACTTTGTGTACCTTGGCTCAACAATCTCTGACACCCTCTCTCTAGATGTCGAGCTGGATAAACGCATTGGCAA